AAACATGAAGCCAATGAAAGTTTTTCTTTGGAAGGAGGGCTATAATAAACATTATACAAGTGACTCCTGTTTTCCTGGAATCATAAATCCTCCTATCCCTGAAAATGAAGTTATAGGTTTGATGCAGGAATTACTGAGTGAGATTCTCTGGCCATTGTGGTGGATAGCGGTGAACTGCTCAACAAGGTCCCCAGTCATTTTGCCTGCTCTGCCCAAAGTAGTCTTACAGAACAGCAATCAGATCCCACATGTATACCCAACGCCATTATACCTGACAGCTTGGATCCTGGCTGGCTGACATCTGAAAGGAGCTGTCTAGCTGAAGTTCAGATCATTCTACACCGAAGCAGGAAATCCTCAGCTAGACTGATGTAGAATGGTAAGTGGAAGAGATTTTCTATGGAGACATCTCAGCTGTCTCCCATGGCAACAGACATTTCCGCAGTATCACACTACTTACCTTGAAATTATCTGGAATTTCTGTCATCTCCATAGTGTCTCAGAGTGGTAGTCATATTAGTTTGTAATGTAAAAAAAACTTAAACAGTGAGTGGGTCAGGTAGCATCTTAGAGGCTAACAAAAATAAATACAAGCTTCAGAGGCATAGCCGAGTTAGTCTGTAACTGGAAAAACTTCAACAACAACAAAAAGTCCAGCAGCACCTTAGAGACTATCAAAAATGTAGATAGTATCATGAGCTTTCGTGGGCACAACCCACTTCTTCAGATGAGTGGAACAAGAGGCTCCATAGTGGTCCATTTAGCAACAATATGTACACATCACCCTCCTATCCAGGACCACATTTTCTTACCTTACAGTACCTAGATTCCTTAAGGGCTCTGCGCTTTCTTTTCCTTCTATTCTAGAGCCCCCTTTCTATTGGGACCTCAGTGTAGTATTAATGAGCTTGGTCCATTCCCCCTCTTTTAGCCCTTAACAGCTTGTTTCCTTGTATCAATGCAGAGTGCCTTTCTAGTTGGCATTATGTCAGCTCAAAGATAAGCAAGATTCAGGACCTCATGAGTTGACAGGATGCAGTGTTTTATTAGGACAGGATCACTCATCCCAAGTTCCTGCCCGGCATTGTTCAAGCATTCCTTGTGAACCAATTGATCAATTTTCCCGTTTTCTTCTCCAAGCCTCACTCAACCCTAGAGAAAGCAACACATCACACACTCGGTGCAGTAAGGGCCAAGTCATACTACTGTACCTCAACAGAATCATTGGGGAACACACCTCGAGTGTTCATGGCCCTTGCTGATAGGGTTAGGAATCAGGCAAATCGCTTCAGAGAGATCAACAAAGTGGGATTCCTACTGCCAATTGTTTACCTTTCAGTAAGTGTGGTCCTTTGAGATGCATTGTCTGTGGAGATTATCGCTCTTCTTCCTGATCACTATGGTGTCTTCCTATGGGAGTCTGTACTGGCAGTGATGGAACTGAGGGATGATATGGCTTATTCAGCCCTTTATGACCTCATGTGGGAGTATGAGGCTCTCTGGCAGGCTGGCCAAAACCAACCAATGTCACACACATGGGGCCTTGGCCCACCAAGACTGCAATCTGTGTCTCAAGATCATAGTTATTATGGGCTAATTAACCATTCTTTTCTGTCCCTGACACTGCAGTGTAAGTTTGAGCAAGTCTCTTACCTACTCTGTTACTCAGTTTCCCCTCCCACCCTCTTTCTCTCATCTACTAATACTGGAAACTTTTCGAGGCAGGGATTATCCCCAATCGTGTTTTTGTATGATGATTAGCACAATGGAGCCCTGATCACAGATGTGGGCTCCAGGTGTCGCAGTAATCTAAATAGCTGATAATGTCAAAACCTATTTGAGAAACTTGATCTAAGGTTTAAAAAAATGCCGTCACAATTTGCATAATTAAGAAGGCAGGAGTAGCTGCGCATTCAGGTTCTCCAGATTTCAGCCGTCTCTAATCTAGATGCTATGCTCGCCTCACTTTGAGGGCCATGGCCCTGATGGAAGCACAACTGTCTGCTTCTTGTGTTAGAAATTCATCCCACAAAATCAAATCAGGATTTAAAATGGAAGCAATGAAAGCCACAAGCTGCAAACGCCAATATTGCATCTTGCTGAAATGTGTTTAGAAGAGAACCAGAGATCATGGGGATCCAGGTACTGGGCTAAAAGAGAAGATTTCCACTCCAAACCCATACATGGTGTTAGCTGGTCAGGATTCGCTGTTAAGCTATGCTGAGCTCACACTC